GCTAAATTTCTGTTTTAAAATGAATGATAAAAATAACAGAACAAACCACTTCCTGCATCTATATGTTACCCATAATAACTTACAGCCTCACCTCTCTCCTGCCCTGTTAAGAACATGGAACCTATGCCTTCTCGAAATGAAACTTAACGGAAAAAAATATACAGATTACTGAGAGTTACATGATTCTGAAACACTGAAAACACTGATAGATTATGTTGTACAACCCTGCAGTAATAATGAACAGTAATAACAGGAACAGTTATGTATGTGTTGTGGCTTGTAGGAGTAGTTTACAGGTGCAGAGGTCTACTGTGCATTTGCAGTGTGCAGTTTTCTTGTGCAGATTTTTTCTTCCTAATGCAGGAAGTATAAATGTTGCAAAACTGAAAAGAGAATTTGGTTAATAAAATACTTTTAGTTTCTGAATCCCAATATCATCATGCTCTAGAAACTACACATTCAAGCACTTTCTCTAGATTTAATCTTAACCACATGCAAATTCTAATATAAAAATTTCAAACACTGTATATTCATTGTCTGTCTCGCTTATCTTCTGATGCACACAATTACTTTTATTCCCGAGTTTGGTTGGCAGATGTCAGAAACAGTAGCAGCTTATTTCGCACAGGCTGTGGATTTTACAGAAATGTGAGCAGTGTGCACTTTTGCTTACAGTAAAAAAGAAAGTGCTCTATTAGAGCTAAAAAGCACTATATGAGTGCATACGGTTAATTGTAGTGATCTTTAAATAAATACAAATTAAATCTTTAGCTTTTATCCAAGTAGCAGTATGACTTCCCAATTAATGGGCAACAGGAAAGCAGATGGGGGCATAGGACATGAAAGATATTTTAGTTGGTATTTTTGCCAAGGGAAATTTCCAAGCAGCTTTTCTCATACAAGCCTGGTTTAGATCTACTGTGTTGATAAACTAGACTAAACAAGTCCATGTAAACATGGAAATGTCATTAAGAGTTATGGACTGGGAGCTTCCGATTAGGAACAATACACTGACTGAGAGGCAGGAAATATGAAGCGGTCCTCAGGGCCCTAACACACCACAGCTACTGCTGACCAGCTCTGGGTCGTTTTCAGATGTCTGCAGCCATTCACTGGGCACAGTTTGTCTGACGGTACAGCAACGGTTTCACTGACTGAAACTCAAAATGACAAATTAATGGTAGAGGACTTGACTTGAGACAAATTACCTCTTCAGATCCTCTACCAAATTAGTTTCCAAGTTTATTCTCCACGTTTCACATTGGCAATGATTGGTATTCAGATTACAGACTAATCAATGTGATCTTAACCCAACATCATATCTTGAGGATCTGAGTGTATATGCCTATAGTCTGACCACTTTCTCATCATCTCATCGCTGAATTTCAGAAACTTGATGGAAAAATCATCTGCTGTATTCTGCGAGATGTTTCCTGGCTTAAAATAGTTCATTTAACAGCTCAGAAACTGCTGCGAATGCCTTGAAGTTTACAGATCTACAACATATGCTCAGATTCAAGAAACTTCAGCAACACTGGAGTCCCTGTCTGAAGCCCTCATGCAAAAAACAACCCAGTTTCTCCAATGTTTCTCGGGTTTGTTGGGTTTTTCTGTATCTATGAAGCGCCTTGAGGCGACTTTTGTTGTGATTTGGTGCTATATAAATAGTGTTTATATAAAGGAGTTATACAGGAGGAATAAAAAAGAAAAGTCATGTCATGAATATCAGTAGAACAGTACAATTAATCTTGTCCTCAGCTTTACTGTTTTATTTATTTGATATACAGAATACAGTGTATAAATATAATATATATGAATACAAACATTTTACACACACACACACAAAATACACACATATCATTACAAAACATAAATACAAATAAAATAAAACAAACAGTAAAAAAAACAATTAATATTCGACTTCTAAGCTCTGTTAATAAAAGAATACAATATTTGGTGCTAGGGCTGCCACAAGCGATTATTTTGCTAGTCGACTGGTCACCGATTTTTTTTGCGATTAGTCGACTAATCAGATCATGCATCCGTTGGACGTAAAATGTACAGCTTAAAACACCAGCATGCATCTGCTCTTATCTATCATTAGCTTACAGCTTTAAATTTTTAAGGTATGCTCCAACTAAAAATAAAGACAAGATGATAGTTTATTAAATTTTAATGAAATTTGCAGATTGTTTCAGTGGAGTTTAATAAACTCAGCCATCTGCACCTTGCTATCTAAAATATAACAGGACACTGGAGTATATTCTCGAGCATCTCACACTTCTGATAATCAGTTGTCTGCTTGACGTTTATTCAGCGGTATAAAAACTATAACTTTAATCTCAGCCAAACTGATTTACTCAGGAACAAATAAAATACTGAAAAAAGCCAAACAATAACATTTTTAAGTTATCTAAGTGACTTATATATGTTTAACCTGAGTAGTGAAAGACGGCGGTGGGTTTGAAAACGATTTGCCGGGAGTCCAGTGTTCTCACGGCTCTAGTGAGCCTTGAACCCCGGCTAGCTATCGAGCTAGTGGGTAACAGATGTCTCTGAAAACATCGGAGCGCTTTTGAAAATACGTGGTGTCTTGATAAACTGAGCAGATATTTGAAGTTTACACAGCTACATTCTCACCTGAAAATATGTTAAACGTTTATTTTGTGACCTAGAAAGAATAATAAGAGTAATATTAAAACTAACTAGCTGCCGCCATTGTTGGAAACTGAGCAGGGCCGTGCTATGAATTCTGGGATAGGTTGGGCCATGAAGTATACACCCGACCCATCCTTCAAATCTGGGGAAATGAAGGACGCATTTCTCGGCCGCATTTGTCGGAGTCTTCGAATTTGTACAGGCTTCGTCGTGTTGCTGTAACGTAATCGGCCTACAAATGCGTTCACAGGAGGATGCGCTTACTGAATTCGGACACAGCTACGATACCGGACACTGCTTCTTCTTCTTCAGGGTTTAACGGCAGCTGGCATCCTTGTACATGCAGTGCTGCCATCTTCTGTTTCGGTCCATTATTACACTCTTAAATCCTACTACTTATTCCTGCGTCTTTTGGGATCTTACAAAGCTTCAAACGACGCGTCGACTATTAAATTAGTCATCGACGATTTTGAAAGTCAACGTAATCGTGACTAGTCGACTAATTGTGGCAGCCCTATTTGGTGCACAAATGAGTCTGCTGTGAGGAATGACACCTGTTATTTTAGCTTTAAGTGACAGGTTATCTTTTTCTCCAACTGTCGGTAGTGTTGCTGCATGTAGCAAGAGACTCCCAGCAGTTAACAGACATTTATGAAACTTGGTTAGCTAGCATTACCCAACATTCTGTTCTGTGGCATACAGTTAAAAACAGTTTCTCAAATTATGTTTATTATTATGCTATGATGTCTGCCCTTTTTAAGATGGTTTGTTGCGGGTTTTTAACTATGTAATTTTTTTTGCATCACATGATTAGAACATGAGTAAGAAGGGCACACATTATAATAGAGATCTCATCCAAATACACTCCACAGCACTCCTAATAGCCAAAAATACATTAAATATAAACCTGCACATAAGTCACAGTAGGCATTTTGTCTGTTCACTGGTGTTGTGGTACTTTTACTTTTCTTCAATCCCCCTCAAGTCTCCATTTTAACTGCATCTCAACCATTTAATCTCCAATGTATTATAGTGGCGTAAAAAGCCTAACTTCATGAAAATGATGTCACTGCACAAATATTTACAGCCCCAACCATATATTTCACTACTACATAGTTGTTCTATCCTGTGCATTAATGAGGAATAACCTTTCAGACATGGCTTAATGAGGGTGCTGAAAACTATAAATCTGCGCAGATATTACTTCTGGAAAAACAATTTAATAAGACCACAGTCATCCTGAATTCCCATCCTGAGATAAGCGCAGGCAATTCCAAGTTTACAATCATGTTGCCCAACTCTGACATATCATTGCGACAGATCACATCCATATTCTGAAGCTGGTGAGCACAATTACACACACACAGTGGCAATGGGTGGGGAAGCAGTCATGTGATCAATTGCAGGAAAGATAATAATTTGTTTCATTCAGTAGCGCCCTAACCGCTGTGCTTGGAAACCAGTCTCCAGGGCCATTACATAATGGGCTAAGCTGTAGTTAGCCATAAAACTGTCGAGTGGTTACACATCACAACGATGCCAGGCCAAAGAGCTGCACACAGCTTTTAACCGCTACAATAGCAGAGCATATTGTAAGCCAGTAACACTATGTCTTTTAAAAAGTGATGACAGAGTATTAAAACGATGTGTTTGGGGAAAGTGCGTCCACCTGCTTGTGATTAAATTGATGCTAATAATAGGAATGCAGAGTAAGTCACAAAAAAAAAACTTGGAGAATAAAAGCCAAGAAACACTACAGTAAAGGTCCAGAAATCTAACTAACTAGTAAAATGAAAGCCAAACAAATGCAAATAAACAAATATATATCTTTTGTATGAGCAAACCAGATTGAGCTAAAGGAAACGCAGCACCTGAAAAATCCAAAGGCAAACACAGCAACAATCCCAAATGAACACAACTGTATGATCTACTTTCAGTTTAAAAGCTTGTTTCTGTTTCACAGTGGGGTCTTTGATACAACAGTCTGTTTAACCCTACACCCAAACAATACATAACTGTGCTGCTGCTGGAAGCTGCTGAGGGCGGTTTTGATGTCTAGGACACAGCTTCTTATGACGGAAACCTATACTGATGGTGTGACTCCTAGCCTGGGGGAGGGTCATCTCAGGAGGAGGAAGAGGGAGATGTGGAAAGGGGAGGGGGATTAAAGAGAGGAAATAAAGACATGAGGGGCGAGAAGAAAATTGTCCTGTAGCCTGCAAGCCTTTCAGTCCTGCTGCCTCCAGTAAATGATGTGCCTTAATCTCAATCAGTTTTTTTTAGGATGTCTTTCCACCACCAAAGGGCATATGAGGGTGAGTTGAAAGGAGTCACTTACTTACCCATTATGTTTGAGTTCATAAAAGGTGTTGGGGACAATCCTTCATGGGACACTAATCGACTGTCACTCAAATGATCGCTGTAATGAGGGCTGTCTGCGAAGCCCTGAGGGAAGAGATCAGAATATTAAGCACATTAGTAGGCAACTTTGATAATTGTGTGCTATAGCGTACTCCTAATTAGCAAGGCGAGAACACAATTGATGCCAATAAAATCTGCAAGAGAAGCCCAAAAATTTGAAGAGAAAGATGGTTCACATTAATAACACTGGTTCATATTTAAACCCCCAGTATCTGCCATAAAAAATACAAGAACTCTATAGATGTTTTAGTAACCTCTCATAACAAGCTGCTATGTGCATTGCATTTTGTGATCTACTGGAAATTACCATAGTAAGGAAGGCTACACGAAATCGGTCAAGAAGAGGATGTTTTAGTAGCTAGCAGAAAACTACTAGCTAAGTGGTAGTGAAACTGTAAAAAGTATCAAGTAAATTGGAAAAGTAGAACTTCTGAAGTAAAAACTGTATTACCTCTCAACAAATAGTTGGCATCCTCCATGTAAACTACATGCACCATTCAAATGCTACTGACCAAAGCAATCACAACAAGGCCTTTGGTCCAGCATCGCGTACTTCTTTACGACCAGTCTCACTTAACGACAAGTCTGGCACACATTTTTCCACTAGCAACCAGTGACAACCAAAAGGTCCCTGTAAGACTGAGGCCTTACTGGTCCTGGGCCATCAGGCTGTTATATTAACCCAAGAGATTTTATCATGTTTTACCATTATTTTATGTACAGGGTGGGCCATTTATATGGATACACCATAATAACATGGGAATGGTTGGTGATATTAAAGTCCTGTTTGTGGCACATTAGTATATGTGAGGGGGCAAACTCCTCAAGATGGGTGGTGGCCATTTAGAAGTCGGCCATCTTGGATACAACTTTTGTTTTTTCAATAGGAAGAGGGCCATGTAACACATCAAACTTATTGATAATGTCACAAGAAAAACAATGGTGTGCTTGGTTTCAACATACCTTTATCCTTTCATGAGTTATTTACAAGTTTCTCTTTGTTCACAGCCATTGACATGTCGAAGAGGTTAACACGTGAGAAGCGGATCGAAAGTGTGTTGATATCTGGTGAACGCAGTAACCGGGTCATTGCAGCAGATTTCAATGCAAAACACCCTACGAGACCACCCATCTCCCATGCTACAGTTAGCAAACTGCTTGCTAAGTTTCATGAAACTGGTTCAGTGTTGGATTTGCCAAAATGTGGACGCAAGAAAACTGTCACTAATGAAGAAACATCAGTGGCTGTCCTAGCTTCATTCAGCAAGAGCCCACAGCGTAGCACTCGCCGCATGTCACTGGAGAGTGGCATTAGTCGAACATCCCTTCGGCGGATATTAGCTACTCACAAATGGCACCCTTACAAACTCCAGCTACTGCAGCATCTCAACGAGGATGACCCAGATTGGCGCACAGAATTTGCAGAATGGGCAAAAAATTTGAACAGGACCCTCAGTTCACGCAGAAGATTTTCTTCAGTGATGAGGCAAACTTTTATGTGAATGGTGAAGTTAACAAACAAAACCACAGCTATTGGTCTGACACTAACCCACATTGGATGGATCCCTCCAAGACTGCTGGAACAACAAAAGTGATGGTTTGGTGTGGTATATGGGCTACAACGATAGTGGGTCCATTCTTCATCAATGGAAACCTCAAGGCCACTGGATATTTGAAATTGCTACATGATGATGAGTTTCCCTCTTTGCGCACTGAAGCTGCACGTTCCCTGAGTTTTTCCAGCAAGATGGTGCACTACCACATTATGGGTGCCAGGTCCGAGCTAGATGAACAGTTTCCTGGAAAGTGGATTGGTCATCGTGGGCCAGTTGAATGGCCCCCAAGGTCTCCCGATCTGACCCCCTTAGACTTTTATCTTTGGGGTCATCTGAAGGCAATTGTCTATGGTGTGAAGATACGAGATGTGCAGCACCTAAAACTACGGATACTGGATGCCTGTGCTAGCATTTCTCCTGCAGTGTTGCTATCAGTGTGTGAAGAGTGGGAGAAGAGGGTTGCATTGACAATCCAACACAATGGGCAGCACATTGAACACATTTTATAAGTGGTCAGAAACTTGTAAATAACTCATGAAAGAATAAAGTTACGTTGAAACCAAGCACACTACTGTTTTTCTTGTGACATTACCAATAAGTTTGATGTGTTACATGGCCCTCTTTCTATTGAAAAAACAAAAGCTGTATCCAAGATGGCCGACTTCTAAATGGCCACCATGGTCACCACCCATCTTGAGGAGTTTGCCCCCTCACATATACTAATGTGCCACAAACAGGACTTTGATATCACCAACCATTCCCATGTTATTATGGTGTATTCATATAAATGGCCCACCCTGTACAATAAAATATATCATGCAAACGGAATTCAAAACCAAACTCTTTAACCCTCTAACACCAAGTGTGTCATATATGATACATACTTTTTTTCCCCTCGCCTAAAAATAAGAAAACATAAGAATTTGCACAATAAATTTTTAAGCAATAAATTGCACATAAATGTCAGATATAGCAAAAATTATACAAATGAAAATTCATACATGGAACTTCATATTTCCTCTCTTGTCTTTTTATTTGATTCAAGTTTCAATAAATACTCCAGTGTTGTTGGGGGGGGTTGGCAATTATTTCTTAGTTCAGGCTTTACATGGTTAAAACAGGTCTCCAAATTCCACAAACAGGCCACCGACTTTCTCAGTATAAGAATTCTGTGCTGTCATCTTAAACCCAACAACTCTTTACCTTAAATGTATCTATAGTTCTATAAAATCAAAACGTATAAATCCAGTTTCTTAAAGTATTCTGTCTTATTCAGTCGTTTTGTGCAAGTCATAAAAGGTCTGTATACCATTTCATGCTTGCAGATGGTGTTGTTTAACAGAAGAGGAAGAAACACAGAGATGCAATCCTCCACCATTTCCAGGTACCTGCAGCTTAAAAAAATTGCCTTTTTTTCTCCTGCAGCTTAACAGTGCCTTTTCATGACAGTTATCAGCTTCAGGAGCTCAGGTCTAAATATCGGTCACAGTATGGTTTTTGAAAACTTGGGGTCCCATGTAATAAAAGATGCTTCGTTACAGTGCTAATCCCAAGTCCTGTGAAAATCCTCCTGTGCTCCAGTAAAATACATCTTCCCAAACTACATTAACTCCCACCAGAGGGACCAAGCAGCAGTGGGCTTGCATTTGTATGGAGCTATTTTCACCAACTCATACCCATTGCATTCAACATACAGTTTAAAAAAAAAAAAAAGTAAATCTTATTATCCATCTTTTCTTGTGAGTGGATGGAGTAATTTCAAAGGCAGTGGAGTGTTGTGCTGTGTCGAGGGAATCCTCAGAGATTCCCTATTGTGCTCCTGCCAGGCCGCGCTCACTGTTAATCACACCATGAACCGACTCAATAACAACAACAGCCCCGTGAGAAGCTCTAGCACACATACACAGACTTACACATACGGAAAGCATTCCTTCTCATATACAAGTAAAAAGCATCAACCTGACCACTCTCTGCAAGGTTGCTGACCAAACTATGAAATACTGAGCTATGGTCAGCAGACAGTGAAAACAATGGTTAAACAACAAAAATAGATTCTAATCATAAACATAAACATAAACATAAAACCATATGAAAAGCTCTACTTTTTTCTTCCTTTTTAAAATTTGTGCAAATATCAAGAAGAAGAAAAAATGTGTGGTTTCACAGAGACTTATAGGTTGAACTATTTCTTGGCTGGGAACACACCAACTTTCAACAGTCTCTGCTTGTTGCCTGGCAAAAACTGCTCATGGCCAGAAAACAATCTGACAAAAGTTGATATCAGACCAAATTGTCAGCTCGTTAAAACTGTTTTCATCCTCAGTCTTACTGCATCTACTCCAAACAGTTTCCAGGGGAGAGGGGATTTGGTTTTCCCTCGTCGATCACTAGAGACCAATATATCTGCCTGAATCTAACATGAGGTTAAGTCACTATGCCAACATACTAGTTTAGCCAGGACTTTAAAAGTGTGGCAAAGAAAAAAACAGTTCAGTAGCCATGCCTCATGGGTGAAGAAAATAAGTGAGCACTGGCAATTTAAAATTTCACTTCACGAGCACTTAGCTTGGCAACAAGTAGCAAATTGTACTTCCACTAATGGCCATTTGAGGCTGGCTTCAAAAGCGAGCTATTCCCCACAGACTCTCTGGCTAAAATGCCAAACTTCAGCTATGAAACAAACACGTTTAGAGCCTGATACAAACAAATAAGTTTTAAGGTTTTAAGGATAGATTCCCCCCTTCGTAACAACTGCAACAAATCCATTTGGATTTTATGAAGAAGTGAAGTTAATGAAGACATTATGATGTCCAATATTTGGAATCACTGAGCTGGACCTCTCACTAACGCCTGCCTTGTTGGCGTCTTTTTAATTTAATTAAAAAGACAAACAATAAGGCCAGCTGTGAGGCACAGCATAAGCAAGAAGTTTATGCTCGAGTTTTGCTGAATGAAATTCTAGTTTGTTTTTGTTTGTAAGTTATATGAATGCAAGGTGCACCCATAAACAACTCCAGGAGGGGCCAGTGGATGATGACAGGACTACATCCATATTTTATATACATTCTATGACTGACAGTAGTGTTAATCCTGCCCATGATGCTGACTGGGAATTTGTTGCTTACTTTTCCACTGAAAACTTGCAGTTTTATGTCCAACCACCTAAGGAATGAGTCTCATGGAGCAGATGGATTTAAAGGTCTGAAGCCAAGCCAAACCTGACACAAAATTTAATGTAAAATTTCAATTTTTTTGTTGTTAAAATTCACAACATTTTACTAAACTTTAGAGCAATATCCCCCTGTTTTCACCCTTAAAGGTGAAAAGATATCTTTAACATACAGTGTTGTACAAACCTTTGCATTCAACTCCATACGGTGTATATATGTATATACATTTAAAAATATTCATGTATGTATGTATATATGTATGTAGGTAGGTAGGTAGGTAGGTAGAGAGAGAGTTATA